TATCACGCCGGTCATCCCTACCAGATAAATCCCAACAACCCGGGAATGGGCCCAATGGCGAAAAGAAAACGTCGCCATCGAACGATCTTCACGGAGGAACAGTTGGAACAATTGGAGGCCACCTTCGACAAGACTCATTATCCTGATGTGCTCCTACGAGAACAGCTGGCTCTCCAAGTCGACCTTAAGGAAGAAAGGATCGAGGTCAGTCGAATCTTACACTTCTATTATTGACATCTTGAATTTTCTATCTTAATCTTTAGAGGCGGAGGTCTATTTTTTAAATCTTACAGCTTTTCCTTGAATAAGATTTGTTATAATTCACTTTGTATTGTATTTCTTGCCTTAAATATAAGACTGCTTCAGCTCCACTATAATAGCTTTCCCATCCTGTAAAGATTAATGATGATTCCTTCGACGAATCTAGAATCGATTACGCGACATTTATAATTAATAGTCGCAATTAATTTAGTATTCACTATTATAATTATCTTACCAGTTGAATGTCGATTTCGGAAAATTATACACTCAAATTAAAGTGAGAGTCTAGTTATTAAAATCATGGTCGAGGACACTCCCTTCTTTGTATTGATCATGAAACGGAATCAACCGCAAAGCATTTAACGAAATAGTGATATCATAAGAAGAGAATAGCGTGGAAAAGAACACAGTGTTGACAATTATGAGCTCCCATTTGTCCGCGATCGTTTTCTAAAAACGAGGAACGTGCTACCGTTTCCGAGGAACGTCGGTGAAGCTACACCGTGCAGCGGCAGGCTTAAAGCCGCTTGCCGATGACAAATTACTTTCTCGAGCCGTGAACGGAATATTGGATTTCGGATCGACAAACATTGACCGTCCGGATGGCCCGGGTCTGGTACGCACAATTTGTAATGTAATGTCGGCAAACTACGCGCTCACGCCGCCGCCGCGGCCGTTCCTGAGTGGGATGGAACGGTCTGTGTTTGTCGTCCTAATGCATAAAAGCCCATAATATTTTAACGCGGTCATTAAAATTTACCGCGGTGGGTATTTATCGGAGCCTCGGTCGACTTGAGCTAACAAGTTGCATGCTAGATTAAAAGCTTTAGCGATAATGTGTTTACTTCAATTATACATACGCTCGCGCGCTCTTGTTCGCGTACACGCGTGTATGCGCACGTGTGTTGGATAGTGAGTATCGTGCAATTTATAATCTCTAAAGTGGTGTACTCTCTGCAGACAAGAGAGAGAAAGGGAGAGGAGAGAGGAAAAGGGAACGCGCGTTTCCGCGTCACGTTAATTTCGTATAAATTTACCTTTCAATAAGTTCATTGTGTCGCCGATCGAGCGTTATTTTTCCAGTAATTAACGATCTAGCTTCTCAATCTGACGGTAAGCGATATATTGTGATTTCTGTGATTTTTACACAGCGTAGCCGTGACTGAAAATAAAATCCTTTTGTACAAACAGTTTTGTACATTTCAACACATTCATTTTGTCTGCAATGTTTCGATTCTACAAAGAGCCTTTCTTTTAAATTGATGATTCATCAATATATAATTAACGCATGTTAAAGTACGTCAAAGTCGACTTTCGGTACTCAATCGAATTGTGTCTAATTAAAATAGTATAAATTTTTTTTCCTGTATTTAATTGGTCTAGACGATTAATCTAAATGTAAAGCTACCATTGGAATCGATTAAAATTTTACTGATTGTAATTGCCGATTGACGTCACCTCAATGGTTTTAAAACACCGGGGCCGCGAGAATGGAATTGTGAACGGGTCGCGTAAAATTGTCCGACGGAATCCGGGGTCGACGACGATACCGTCGAGTAATCACGGACTCTGAGAATCATTGACACTCGCGGGACCACCCGCGTCGCGTCGGCTTTGCCAAAGAAAAGTCCCCCGAGTCTCGAGAGTTGTTTAAAGACGGGAACAACATATACCTGCGTGTCTGGTACCCGGGGCCGCCTCTTCGAGCGAGAGTCCACGGTGTTTGCACAGAATTAGTAGAATAGCGACTCTTGGTGCGCCCGATGGAAGGAGCACAGGAGAGGACAAAGAAAGAGCTAGGAACGGGTCGACCCGGAGGGGGGAGGAGGGGGTGAGAAACCTAAGGTTCTGTTTTGTGTGCTTCCAAGATCGCGTCGACTCGACGGATCCAAGGATCGACACGGGAAAAACAACAGCTCGGAACTATCGGTGCTCCCACACTTTATTCAGGATACACATCGACATACAATTCTCTGATTGAACAATTAGTACGCATGGCACTGTTGTCATTAAAAAATTTCCGCTGACAGGACACGAGACACCTTGGTCCACGTGAAATGCAATCGTGACGGATTTAATTTTACATCTCACGAGGAGTAAACCGGGATTCATCGTCCTTAACCTGAGAGAACGCTTCAAAGTGAACGAGGGTTAAGCTATTACAATAGCTAATGCAGCAAAACGAACGAGCGAGTAGGGGTTGAATATTGATTGTCGGTTTTCATTCGGATTGATTCAGACAGGCGTGAGGGACAAATGCATGTCCCGCGAGTGCGACGGGAATCGTTTGATGTCTCTCACGCATCTTTTTTTACTTCGTTAAGTAATATCTCGTAGCACGTTGATGTATCTTGTCTAATCACACGATTTAAAAAACATTATATTTTTCAAATATCGTTCAATTGGCTCCGGTAAATGTTCGCTTTAATTTATTTAATTGCATGTAGCTAAAAATCGATAGTATCATAGCTTCACCTTTAGAAAAACTGTAATTATATTACTTTACTTATAGACACACATCTCTTAAGCGTTTTTAATTTGTTCTATGACTACAAAAATAAACTTTATTCGTTATTGTCACTTGTTAAATATCCATTATTAGACTGTAAAAGGCTTGTTCCATATCTGTCAAAGCTAAAAATAAATTTCTAGCAAAATCGAAGCAAAACCACCACGGACTTTAGTATATACTTTCTTTTCAAAGAAGTTTTTAACTTTTTTTTTTAATGCAAGGCTTTTCATGGAAAAGGGTAAACCTTCTACACCAATCTGACGCCTTTATTCGCGGGCAAAATAAATTCTATTTAATCCTTCATTAGATAATGTTGTTTTCAAGCAACTTGTTCTTCTTATCCACTTCCTAGAATGCTCTTGCTATTATGGTCGAAATTAAACAATATAAATAACGAGCTCCTCTCAATATTCAATTTATCTTGTACCTAATTTAAAGAAAAGTAATACATTTTTAATTGTCCGAGAAAGAATCGCTCGATTTTAGTTCTGTCGAATGAATGATTAATTTACACGAGTCCCTCTGAACGTTACGTTGAATTTTTCAAAATTCATTTCAGGTATGGTTTAAAAATCGTCGCGCCAAGTGGCGGAAGCAGAAGCGGGAAGAGCAGGACCGCATCCGGAAGCTGCAGCTGGAGCAGCGTCAGCGTACCGACGACGGTGGCACCGCGGCGACGGTGATGGTGGGCGATCGTCTGGGTCTGAGTAGACAGCAACAGCAGCAGCATCAGCAGAAGCTCGAACAGGACACGGACAGCTCCGATCTCGAGGTAGCGTAGTGCGACCGTGACGACGAGACACGACGAGTCTCACCCATTGGTAAATCGAGGAGATCGAGGACGACGGAAGACGGCCCAGTGCTTTCACGCTCTTATCGACAATGTGTATGGGCATGTACATACGTGACTATGTTGTAAATACCATTGTAAATATGACTAACGATGAATGTGTACAATACCGAAATAAATTATTGCATCGAAGCACGAAGTGCGGTGTGTCTGTCGTCTGGTCCCCTTAAGTCTGTTCCACAATAGGATCGCAAGCCGTAAGCCGTAAGAAATTAACCAATCATAGTTAATTATTTTTGTCATATTTAACTGTGATTAACCAATTTCTTATGGCTTACGAATTGCGATTCTATTGTAGAACAGGTATTTTGACACATTTGCGAAAGATCATCTTTTTATAGTACATTGAAGAAATAAGAATTTTATCACGTAGCTTTATGACAATATTTATATACGCAGGATGCATACATATATAGCGTTGCATGTACTGTCTAAAACTTTTAGAGTGAATTTCATTGTAAAAAGTGAAAATCTCACTCTTTAAAGATAAAAATTGAGCCACTCTTTTTCCAGATTGGAAAGACTCAATTTTCACTCTCTCTAGAGTGAAATTCCATTCCAAAAAATTTAGAGAATATATATCCAAATATTTTATAGATTGCGATGTTAACCGAGTCGTCATCGAATCTCTTTTTGTTTCAACTCTGATTATCTCAATGACGTTAAGAGTAAAATTAATTAAATAAAATTAATTTCGTCCACTTCTCTCCATTCCACGCAGTTAGTTTGTGTTACTGCGATTTAAAATACGTTTATTTCTTGATTCAATATATAATTATAGATCAAATTAAATCAATTTGAATTTATTTTATTTTATCTCGAATTTTTCGTGGTTGATTTTCATTGACCTTCAATCTAATCCGAAGAGAGCAATATCAATTTGCCTCGATGTGATACCTTTATCGAGGATTCTCTCATTTACATATAAGTGTGCAGCGAGGTGTCCATTTAGATCGCGAAAACTTTAAATTTTCCCTACTATCGCTTATTGTTATTGTTGGAGCGCAACCCGGTTTTACAACAATATTTTCTTATTGAAATCGCTTCGCTGTTGTGGAAAATACATTCCCGTTTATATAAACGTTTACACGGAGCTTCGATATTCCATCACGCATAAATATTAAAGCCCGTCGATCGTTTAGAAATTTTAAAATGCGTCGCGTTTGGAACTTTTTGCTCAGCGGTTTTCCGCTGACAGGATAGGATAGTTCGGATACAGGATAGGAGAGTTTATAGGTGAGTCAATTCAATCAATTGTATCAAAATAATTGCACCGATATGAATTAAATTTAATTATAAATTTTATTTAAAATAATAAAAGATTTGTTTTTAATTTTTTATTTTACACATTTATAATTTTTTTTAATCGAATCCTCTATTATTTTCAATTGTTATATGCGGTTACATCACGTGCGGATTTTCTACTTATTCATTCTTTTTTTCTTTTGCCTATCGAACACAAATCTCGACAACTTTCCCGTTATTTTCCCCCCGAATCTCCTGAAATGATGCTTTTTGTCACGTGGTTTTCTACGAGAGTCGATTGCGGTGTCTACTTCGACGATCCTGAGAATTTCGATGGGATTCAGGCTGAATCGGCTGCGTTCTGACGAGCCGATAATCAACACGAGTACCGTCACAAATTTGCGGAAGGATGTGACTCTCAGCAGATACGCGGCGCCGTGGCCGTATCGGAAGAACGGCGGGCCGAACGAATTCACATCGCACACGTAGTAAGCTCCGCAGAATTTGAAGAGACCAAGACAGGCGCTCTCGCATGTCAATACAGCGAAGTGATAGCTCGAGAATACTCGCTCCAGTGTCTTCCACAGGCACTCGTCCGACTCGACGTACAATCTGCCGCTAACGGCCGGCAGCATCCGGGCCTCGAACAAGATCTCGCCGATATCGAAACAATTGGAAAGGTACTTAAACGAGTGATTAGCATCTGCGTCGCTGGCAGACTTAAGCTCGGCCTCATGCTTGCTGTGCGTGTAATAACGATCCCCGCACACGACGATCGCGTCGAGAGTCTTCGGGCTCCAATATTCCGGTGCCATAATTCTAGTCATGCCAGCACACACTACGTAACAAGCGTACGTCTGCATACCGCGGTTCGCCTCGTCGAACATATCGTCAGTTATGTGTATCTCGCCCCAGAGGGAGAATAGTCTATTGGGTTCTTCCACGTAGTACTGATGCCATCTCGCTTTACCAGCGACGGTAACCTCGGTCGAGACCGGTCTCTTCCGGTTCGCGAGCGCGCATTTGCCCCAGGTCGTCGCCCGGTAACGCTTCTTTGGCTCTCTCGGATCGCCCTCCTCATCCTCCTCTCGATCGGTCTCGTCCTCTTGGTCCTCGATCTCAAGCGTATCCGACGAACATTCGTCGGTGCGTCGCGGCTGCTTAGACATCCCACGTTGCAGTAACTTTAGATTGTCCAGCTGACAGCAGCGGAAAGACACGTGGAAGAGCTGAACATCGATGTAAACGTTTCCCTCACCTTCATAATTGGATTGATAATCGAATTGCGTTAACTGCTCCTCGAAGGCGTGGGCTCTCAACATAAGGATCATCAGGTGTCTCCGTAACGAGTCCTTGGAACAGAACTTCACGATGCAGGCGAAACCTCCTTTTCTCCAGAAGCCATACTCATTGCACTGATAGGGATTGTACAGATACCAAAACAGACCATCCTGCCAGAAGGCCAATGAGAATCTAGCCGTGCATAATATATAGTCACGATATCCTATGATCATTTTGTCGAGCCACTTCTCGAGCTTTCTCGGCAAGACGTCCTTGTGCACGGGCATATAATATGAATCGGTCACCTTCTGACAGCCGAGTTCCACCCCAACTTGCAGGGGATCCTTCCTACTTAACGTAATCTGCGGCTTCATACCATACTCTCGATACTCAACGTCAACTAACCGCGCGACGACATTTTTTATTTTCCCGATCAATTCTACTTCGACGCTGTATTTGTAATTGTACACAACGACGTCGTCTAAACGCTGCTTTGCCTTCACGTTGATCGAGCCGATATGGGTGAAGAGCATCCAGGCATGGTCGTAGATGTAATCGATATTAGCGCTGCACGCGTATTTGTATCTTCCATGCAAAAATATCGTACAAATAATGTCGTTTTTAAAAGAAATGACAGCTTTTCAATGGATTCTAAACTCTCGTAAAAGTACAGTTAAATTCTCACTCTTCCAATGCGAGATGTTAAAATTACGGTACGTAGATTGACTTAAATTCCACGCACGTATCCTTTTACCTTGACGAGAGTTTTCTTTCCAAATAAATTTTGAATAGAAGAAGCAAATCTCGAATTGATCGGACAGAGAATCGAAATAATTTAATATATATATTTGCTCTTAAATAAATTAATTAAGTAGACTATAAAAAGAAGAATCTTTTTAAGTATAAAGTCTTATTTTTTAGTGTAAGAATAAGAATGATCAAAATTCATCAAAATGTATTAAAATGTTCCACATGTTTCGAGATTGAGACATATGGAACATTTCCAGCAAACAAGCTGACGTTACTTGTCGTAATTTTGACATTCAAAATGACGATAAATAACATCAGCTTGTTTGGTAAGATTACTGTTTCGATCATCCTACTTGACACAGATCAATACCTGAGCTGAGTTTTCGCTAACAATGCCACGATCGCTTGATAGAAGCAGAACTTCCAAGTGTTCCTGCGCACTCGCATCGTGCTAATTTCCAACAAATGCATACCCTTCAGTCCACGAAGAACCACATAGGCATAAACACGCTTGGACGGTATTTCCACAATCGTGTAGTCACCATCTACCAAACCGGGACGTTGGTCGCCAATCGCACAATCCACTAATAATTTCAACCTTGATTCCGAATACGACACCGGCACACGTACGTGGCCTAGCTCCTTGCGATTAGCAAAGTCGCTCCTCTGCTGATTTCGAAGAAATTCGTTCTTGTCATCGTCATACAGGAAAATGTCCCTTCGCTTCCTTCGTCTTTCCTTTTCCCATTCTTTCTCCAATCCGATAACTGCATCTCGTGGAAAGAGCGGTGGTACACTCGGCCATAATCTTTCGCTTCCATTTCTCGGCACTCTTTGATGTATCCTCGTCTGCAGAAAATATCGCAAATTTGTAAAGAACTTCGTATATGTGTCCGCAATGCAAACAATAATAAGTTAATGAAGAAGTAAATAAAATAAGGTATGATTTTTGAAATAGTTATATACAATCTTAACAAGACTTCGCAGAGAGAAATTTTTGTATAATATGTGTGATTTACAAAATCTTTTTTACTTTTTAATTAAAAAATTTTATTGTTCTAACCAGAATTTAATTAGAATAATCAAATTTTGATTAAAACGACAAAATTTTTTAATTAAAAAGTAAGAAAATGTTTGTAAATCACCTATCATACAAAACATTTCTCTCAGTGTTCAGTTCCGCAGAGATACGACCAAACAAACAAAAAAATATGCAAATTAAATTAAATAAAGAATAATTTGAGCGTGTTTGTAACTGGCATCGTTCTGTTTCTAACCGGCTGCCTCGCCCTCATGCTTTTCCAAATTCGCGGCTTCCCGCATCGACCTAATCCAACAGTCGTCCTAGCCTGATGCTCAAGCTGAAAGCCGTCGAGCGGAAAGCACTTGATAGTTTCCACGTCAGATAGTCTCGCGATGTCGGACGTTGCCTTCCGCTTGTTTTTTCCCTCCGGACTTTTTCCCTTCGACTCTGAACTATAGGATGCTTCGTGCAAATTCATCAATCTATCTATCTAAATGACAGATAAAATTTGCAATTGAAGAAAAGGAGCCTCACGTGCCCTTACGATTTCATTCCGCTAGTAGACCCTCTGTCCATCCAAGGTCTCTTCTTCTTAGTGTGTTCATTCGTTTCATCTTTAGTACTTTTGTATTTGAGAGATATTTGACCATCGCTTGTTACACCTTCCGTACCAGACGTAACCTCCCCCAAAAAGTCACTGGCCACCGTCTCATCCTCGGTTTGACTCTCCGGTTCCGTCATGTTTTAGCGAAATTGGATTAAATCGATCTTACGACATAATTTTTCAATCATAGTATTACGCAATTATAAAAATTTTGCTATGGGATTGCAACCAGGTTTCATATCTCTGCGTGCGTCTACGTACTTAATATGTATTATTACTTTTGAGATTTAAAATGTGCAACGAAGATGTTAATGTCGATATGAATATCACGCATTTGCAATTTTGACATCAAACATAACCGTCGTGCGAGACAGCAGAGACAGCTTCACACAATACGTACATACATTTGGCTCACAAACATAAAGAGATGTTTAACTCATGGTGGATTACTTCCATCATGGTTTGACTTTAGACAGTTTCTTAACCCCGGATCTACAATAGAGTTCTAAGCCTTAAGCCATAAGAAATGGACAAATCATAGTCGATTATTCTCCTCGAATTCGACTGTAATTGGTCAATTTCTTACGACTTAAGACTTAAAACACCTATTGTAGATCCGGGATAATGCCGGTTCACAACGTTGCTTTAAGAGGTCTTAAGTCATAAGTCGAAAGAGATTAAATAACAATAATTTCTATCTTTAAACTGTTTTTGTGCAGTCTTTAAGCTTCAACCGTTAGACTTAAGCGAATTGAGCATAACCCGATTCTTAAGGCGTAAAAGCATAAGTTCTGTGGCCGATATATCGTCATTTACAACTTACAGCTTACGGCTTACGGCCTCTTAAAGCAAGGTTGTGGACTTATGTCGATTGTTTAGATTCACTTGACATCCTTAAAAAAAGAAGAAACGTATGCATATAATGTATAAATGTAATTATGAGTTTATAATAATATTATTTATACTCTCTCTCGCTCTCTCTGGTGACAATTGCTCTAAACACATAACTATTGTACCTTCCACTGAACTTCTTTTGGAACAAATCCGCTCGGATATGATCCGGATTCAAAGTGAGAGAAAGGGGAGAGGGGGGGCAAACACTCGAAAATGGCTGGTTTAAATTTGTATAGGCCCTCGGAAGACCGCAGAGAGACAAGAGGGTTCCTCGAGAGAACGAAGGACGGCTTCCTGAAGCTGAAAAAATACCGGGTACCCGATTGGGGGGACGGGGGGTGAGGGGGCGCGTAGCCTCGATTTATCCCGTTTCGTTCGCGTACGATTTTGTAATTATTTTACTGCCGGTGCAGACGAAGCCCTAGGAACGGCAGGCAGGCAATCTCGAACGCGCGAAGCCCGCCGGTGACGCAAGATTTTCAAAGTGTTTATAAAATTACGGGGGCGCGATACCACCGCGCGCGCGACCGAAATAACGCGAAACCGTACGATCATACCGGCCCGCTCCGTATTCAAATCATTATTGGATTTGGGAGCCCTGCTCGTGCACGGATGACGAACAAATAAATCGTATTTCGAATGCGGCAAAGTCGGCGCCGCGCCGCGCGAGCCGTGATTCCGTGATCGGCGAAAGTACCGAGATCGTTACTTGGAGCCGAAACAAGCTTTAGACTCTCCCATCCTTCCGCGTTCCTTCGGACCGATGCCGTCAGACCCGAAAAATCCGAGCAGCTTAAGATTAAAGTCCGAAACATCCGAATCGTTTGACCACGCCGGAAAAATTCTGAGCACTAATCGAAAATTAAAAGTTACACGAATTTTCAAATGATCGAGAGTTTCGTGCTTGTTTATTTATTACGTTTATATTATATTTGTTTTGGCCGCTTCTTATTTTACGAATTCTAATCTTTGTTTCAAATATCGCTAGATTTAAAGCATACATTTGTGGGTATAATTAAGGCTGTGTTCCAAAATTCACTGTGTGTTGAGAATCTACAGTGCACTCTTTAAATTCTTTGGAGTGGAATCTCACTCTAAAGAGTGAAATTGAGTCCATCTTGGAAAAACATGGCTCAATTTTCAATCTTTAAGAGTGAATTTCACTCTATAAAAGTTTAAAGAGCACGTAAACATATAAATAACGGATTTTCAGCGTTGACAGTAAAATTGGAACACAGCTTAAGTTACAATTTTACCATTAATGTCACTTTTAGATTGCAGTTTAAGTCACACAGATTTATTTCATTTTCTATTTTGCACACGACTGACGTTCTGTACGTTTAAAGATAGGGAGTTACAGCTCGAGCATCAATGGATATTCGTCAAAAATCGTTTATCCAGCTGGGCCGATATGCGTTAACCAAAAAAAACCGAGTAACAACTTGTAAAAATCGAAGGAAAATACGTATGCGCGCTGTGCGCTGGCCGAAATTAATATCCGCGGCTTTTGTACGCATTTGTTTGCGAGTTTGCGTTTCGCCGACGGTCAAAGCGAGGCGGTTTTGCGCGAAAGCGCGTCGTAAAGTTTTTAACGCCGAATGAATCGGCAACGTGTGTAAAAGACGGATCGGTATAAGGTACGTATATTTCGTTTTTCGCGGCTGAGAAACGAGCATCTGCTGCTGTTAACACCGGTATTATGACATTCCGGAGTATTTCCGACGCGAACGCCGAGTCTCTCGAAAACGGACGATGGCTTTCACCGATTTTTCCCGTGGTTGTTCGACGGGAGCTTTCTCGCGGGTGGCCGAAGAATATCCCGTGGGAATCCCGGCGATGTACAAAGTCGAAATGGAATTCGAGAATCAGTCTGATCCTTGCCGTCGGGCTCTGGCCGCGTCACGTCGGAGAGAAGTTCTCCGATGGGTAGAAGGGGAGCTCGTCAAAAGGGGGACGAATCGAAGATCTGGACAATTCCCGGTGAAAATTTAATGGAAGGTTCACGGAGACACGTAGAAGACGTAACTTCGCGGGGGCGAATTGATTGCTTGCGTGCCGCGGCTAAACCACGAGAGCACACACATCAATGAATTATCACGATCGATTATTGCGTACGGGGGTTCCCCGCCGAGGACTTCGGCAACTGATCTGTAGGAATCGTCGATCCCTTGACTACGTCGCTACTATTTAAAGCGGGAGTAACTACGATCGGTTATGAAGGATAATTATTGTCTCATTATTATGGCTATTATACAACAAGCCATTATCTAAGCTTTAAGTCTTAAGTCGTAAGAAATTGTCCAATCATAGTCGACTATGATTGGACGAATTCTCAAATTCAACTGTGATTGGTTAATTTCTTACAGTTTAAGACTTCAAGTTTAGGGGAGATTGAGGTCGAAAGTAACACGGGTAAGTTGTAACACTTAAATAAAAAAAAGCGTAAGAAAGAGATAGAAGTTTGTAATTAATTATATTACAAACCTCTATCTCTTCCTTACGCTTGTATATTTTGTTTATAACGTTTTTTATGCAAGTGTTACAATTTACTGTGTTACTTTTGACTTCAGTCTCTTCTAATGATTTATTGTAGAAAACCAATTACAAAAATTTCGAGCGAAAAAATTCGCTGCTAACCATCTTTTCGTATTAAGTTCATTTTACAGTTTCGTAAGCGCAGTTATTGTAAGAATTGACCAATTGAATATTCACAGCGTTGAGAGAATAATCTCGTATTCGATTGGTCAATTCTTACAACTACAACTATTTACTACACTTACACAGTTATAGAACGAGCTTTAAACACAAAAGGAACAGTTACGAGGTTCTAGAAACCAATATTAAGATTTTGATCAAAGTTGATCAGTCTTTTGATTGATCATCACTTATGATCCATTCGGTTCGGATAGCTTCATACATTTTTGGAAAGTGGGATAAAATAAAAAAAGAAGAAATAAAAAAGATAAAGACAGTTATCTATCCACTATTTTTATTCTCTTTTATCAAACTCTTATTATATAGGATCTCTACAAGATTCACAATATTAAATGAGAATCGACCGATCAAATTAAACATACATGAATGAAAAATGTCATATTCAGTCAAGGCGGTTCTTCGTGTCTAATAATATTTTTTATGAATTTATATAATTTTCAGTTCAAGCTGTGCGAAATTTGTATTTTCAATGCTCTCTTTTGTATACTTTTAACAGGGTTGATAAAAAACATGTTTTAAACAGTTTAAAACATGCTTAGTTGATATTTTTAATATGTTTTAAATATGTTTTTTTTTTATAGTACTGTTTAAAGCATATTTGAAGCATTAAAAACATATCTAAAAAGAAACACAATATGTTTTATTCTTAAAAAAAAAAAAAAATTAGTCTTTACCAACCCTGCTTTTGACGCACAGCAGGACAGATATTTTCTCGTAAACTGATCAAAATTATTATAAGAATCGCGTGTGTACATATCAATGGTTTCGGGAAGCTCGCGGTGCGAGAATCGTCCCGAGGGGTGAAGAGAGGAGAAGCGGATTGCCCGTATACATAATAACATGTGCATATGTCTACGTATTCGCGTATAATACATACTCGCTCCGAAAGGAGGATCGGAGAGAAGGGAGTGAAGGGGATCGGAATGAGCGGCGAGGGAGAGGGAGAGAGAGAGAGAGAGAGAGTGCAAAATAAACAGTGCATTATATGCAATAACGCACAAAACACCCCTACGGCTGTGCAGTCATCTCCTTCGAAAGATTCGGCCGCGAGTGCGCGCGCGGGCAATCCAATTAATTTTATTTTAATTACCGCATCGTCGGGCATACGCCGATTGTTATTGTTTCGACGTCGATGAATCGACCGTCGCCCGTAATTTTGCCGCTGACAATTTCCGCCGTTCGACGTCCCGCGACGCGACACCTGTGCAAATGGACACCGCGTTTCTTCTCGAAATAGTCCAAAATTTCCGAATTATTTCTTAAAACAGACGCTACAATTAAATAAC